GGTGCTTTGCCAAGTAATTCTGTGGAGATTAAAGTTAGTCCAGTGGGTGTCTTTGGGTAGGGTGCTACCTACTTAATTCTAATTTATAAGAGTTCTGTGCTTGGAACTGCCCAAGACATTTGCAGTTTTGAGATCACAGATGTACCATAAGGGAAAATAAGGACAAAGCATTTTTACTGATCAGAAAATCTGAAGTCGGAGAATGCCGTAACACAAACCATTTATAGAAAGCGCTGTTTCAGAGGAGAAAGATCCAATCTCATGGTTTTGCAAGTGTCTGTTCTGGAGCCTCTGTGCTTTCAGTTATACTGAGGAGGAAAACTGTAAAAATACATGCAAAGCTGCTTAATTTTTCTCCCAAAGTGTATCAGAAGTGTAGTTAAATTTTTCCTTGACTTGCTAAGTTTTATATGATTTTAAATTGAGTGATTCATTAGATACTACAGAAGAAGATAATGTGGTTTTCCAGACTTGTTTGAAAGAAAAGCTCAATATTGCTATTGGTTGTTAGCATGCTCAAGGATGGGGGTGGGTTTATAAACTCTAAATCAAATAAAGTTCCTGTGGCAAAATAAAATGTTTTTTTAATTCTGATCAGCAGTATGTAAAACAGAAATGGGGGAGGTGATTGGTAGGTGAGGGAACAGAACTGAAATAAAGACATTAATCTGATTGCTTTGACACATGTTATTATTCACTGTACTCATGAAGGAAAAAAAGAGTATTTGAATAGAAACAGATACATGTTCTTGTTACTGAAGGCAGTCCTGTATATTGGAATGACTTTAAATCATGGGAGCAAGTAAAGAAAGGCAAGAGAATTTTGCTGGCCATATATTGATGCTGAGACTTTCAATGGAACTGCTGGAATCTGCAGGTCTGTCACAGTATTAGGCTGGAATTATTAAGAACTTTGAAGGTGAAAATAGGCTTTATAACAGTGAAAAAGGAGTCTAAAGAAAAGCAGTAATATCTTCATATTTGGAGTAATTTTGTCCCTTTTATTCCTAGATGAAAATCTGACAATATTCCATTTAAGTAGCTTCTAAGTGATCTATAATATAAATACCTCAGTGATATTGTAGTTCTCCTTCACAATAAACCTTGTAGACCTATGACACTATGCTTGAAAAGAAACAAACAAATTTGGGGCTACATTAAAATCATCTGAAAGACAGGTAATTATCACCTGAATATGAAAAGAGGATCACGAGATAAGTGCAATATACATGTGTGAGCCTATAATGCTTAGCATTTAACTATTCCATTTATAAAATTATTCTTTCTGAAGTATATTCTGATTATAAAAATTTATTATGATGATACCCCTACTTTTACTGTATTTCCACAACATTATTTCAAAAAAATTAAAAAAAAAATAAATAAATCTAAGGTAGTAAGCACAAAATTCTATGCTGGTTTACTTGTGCAGAAAATATTTTAAACAGTTTTAGATTCCTTCTATACTACAGTGTTTGTTGTGGTTTTTTGTTGGTTGGTTGATTTTTTTACATTCTGTTTTTCTTTAAGTTATATTTCATGATTAAAACTAGCATAATAATCCACTGTATAGTCCATATAAAGCATTAGAAAAAGTTACATTATTCCTAAAAATCAATGCATGAGAAAAAGAGTGAAAACACCAAGGTCACTAGCTCAGCTTTATTGGTATATACTTCCAGACTGTTGTCAAAGGAACCTTAATTGTTACTATACCTTAAACATATAATATGTATATTGGATGACAAGTATCCTTTAATAAATCTCAATAATCAAAAATCTGAGGCCCAGTAAAATGAGAGAGAGAAAGGAAATAAATAGAGAAAAGTGTGTGTTACTTGCATTGCATATCAGCTTGCAGGATGGGGGAAATAATGAAATTGTGGTAATGTGTTGTTTCCTCTCTAACATTGTATGTTCTGTCCTAAGAAATGTCATTAGTTGATACTGGTTTCTGGTTCTTATTTTTATAAATATCTTGGACACTACCTGTTTTTTCAGAAGAAGTTAATTACTAAGGTGTATTTTAGCAACAAGCTTGAAATAACTCAGAAAAAGTATTGATTTATTTAAGGAAAACCTTCCATCCTGGCATACTTATCTGTACAAGCATATCTGGTTTTACAGTATTTAACTAAGTCCTGCAGCAGGATTTTAATTCATTCTTCATCAGATCTTCACATACTTTTCCTGCTAAAAGTGTCTACTTTTTATCTTCTATATAATGTGGCATTTTTATGACTTTTTAAAACAAAACTGAAAATTTGTTTTTGCAGTCATATGCATGTATTTTTTTGGTGACTGACATCAGTATGGGATCCAAATTTCTTTCTCTATCTTATCTCTCTGAACTTGTTTCTTTAAGTGCTGCAAACTAAGGACTATCTATCACTCTATGGCAAGCCTGAGAGAAGTACAGGAATAAGCTGAGTCTGATGTTGCTGTCAGACTCCTGGAAGGTCTTTTCATGCTAATTTGGAAAGAAAATAGAAATTTTTTCAGAAGGAATTAGAATATTTCCTCTGTAGGTCTGTGAGCGTGTTTGAAAGCAAGAGTGCTGCTGCACGTGGAACAATATGGTAAGAATGTACATTTGCCTAAGTTCAGAGAGGGTTTTTGAGTGGCTTTTTAGAATGTGATTTTGGCAGTATTACTGGTACAGAACAAAGGACTGGAGTATCAGAACATGAAAGAGAAAGAGTGGGGAAAAAAAGTTTTTATATTGGTAAAGGGTACTTTATATATTAAAGGGTACTTGAAAGGGATGTTGGATTCAGCTGAAGGAACATAAAGAGGGGTATGAAGCTATGTTAAGGGAAGAAATTCTGAGTAGATGAGTGTAAATAGGTAGTTTAGGAACTGAAATAGTCTACTGGAGGTGATAAAGGAGAAGGAGCTTTTGGACTCCTCATTTTCCACTGTTACATCTAGACACGGAGAGGGCTGCTTTACCTTCTGCTCTGTACTGCATAGAGGTAAGCTGCGAACCATGCTGCTTCTTTATTTCAAAAACTTATTATTCATACCCTGTGACTCAGTGCCAGCTGTAGGAGTTGAAGGGATTACCATTGGAGCAGCATGAATTTCTGAAGTCCTGTGTCTTGTGTTTTGAAACACATCTTTCTGGTTTTTAGAGATCGGAGTTAAACTGCACTTTTTTGTTGTAGAAAGACAGAAATTATCACTAAGCAGCCTTAACTGTGTGCTTCTGGCATTTTTATCTCTATATACTCAGATTCTGTACAAAGCAGTCAAATGCTGTTTAGATTTAGCTCAGCTAAGCATATGAGGCATCCTGGGATTTTTGGGACATTTCTTCATCTGCATCTTGAGAAGTTTCATTTCATGACTTTCTCTGTTAGAAATTTCCAGCATTTTCCCAGTTTTAGTGAGAGTTTTGGTTTTGTAGAAAATAAAAAGCTTTGTGGAAATGTAGGAAAGAAACTATAATTTTCTATAATAATAAAAGAAGACTGTGTTAGTGTGTTGTGTAAGGGAAGCTATCTTCAGTCTTCGTCTAGCTGAGTGTAACAAGCATTTTGGCAACAGTCTGAGGGTGCAAGGTCAGTGGTTTTCTGTCATACCATTTTACTGAGTGTTATTAAAGTAATTGTAGTCTAAATGAATACAAGATAAATAGTCTTCAGTAACTATGGGGAAGACTTGGACTTTTTCTGGATTTTGTAGGGTTTTCTTCCTAGAAAGAAAGATTAATGGGGTTTCCATAATCCAAACTCAAGTGGTTTTGTCGTCTTCTTGCATGATCCTACATTAAATTAAGTTTTTTCAAGCAATCTTTTAGTAATCATTTTCATATCTCTCTTTAATTTATTATCATATCTCTTCAAATAATTTTTATAGTATTTTAAGTACTTTGACTGTCTGCAGCTGTACTATCAGGAAAGAAGTCATTGTAAGATGCTTAACATTTCAGTGAAAATAAAAACTGTGTAAAGACAGAAAATACATAGTTCATGTTACATGATAAAAAATTACTAAATTGCCCTATAGTTTCCAGAAGTTAAAAGAAATGCTGGAGTCATGTATCTGTCTATTTAGTTCCCAGCATGCTGGAAACAGATATTTCCAGCATAGCTGGAAAACTACTTTCACAGAAACAATGGCTAAATAAGACACTGGTACAGACTATAAGCAAGGAGTTCTTGCAGTTTTCTCCTCTTAACACATCTTCCAAAATGCACTGCTTTGCCTTCCCCAGCTATGAGATAAGTAAACATTGATTTTGACATAATGAAACTTCGAACCAATTTGTGACTCATCCCTGCATTAAAGACAAAGGGTGTTTTTCTCCTCTCCCTGCCCACTCTCCATAGGATAAAGCTGAGGAATTCTATTTAACATCAGCTGAAATCACTGAAAGCTCTTTGACTAAATTCAGTAGGAGCTGGATCAAGCAGGTTTTGTCTTTGAACTATGCACTAAAGAGAAGAAGTTCTTTTTCTCCTTTGCCTTGGCATTAAATGACATATCACCTGTTAATTGTCTACAATCAAGGCAATGAGAATATTGGCTTCAAAAGAAATCAACAAATAATATATGATTCTTCTTCAAACTGACTTCCTTTACACCTAATCTCCTATAAGGCAATACTGCATGTACATGCTAGAATAGTAGACAAGTCTTTGCAAGATTGTAACCTGATCTCTCAGTTTTGTTATTGTTTTCTAAAATATTATTTATGATATATTGTGCAAAGATTAAACCTAATCTTAATTGTTTACACATTCCACTGATGTTCCACAGATTCATGTTTATTATTTATTAAGGATAGTTTCCTTAATATTGTTAATATATATGTTAGTTATTTCCTGTAATATATAATATCTTTAATCTGTATACACTGCTCTTCATACCTACAGTTTCATTACCAATGTGGGGAGAGAATGTGTTTGTACCTGCATACCACTTTTTTAATCAGTAGCTTCTCTTTTCTTCTGTAACTTTTCTAATATGGCTGATTTATTAATATTCCTTTACAGAAAAAGCAGAGAACAAAGGATCTCTCCCAGCTGTTTCATTCATACAATCCATATGATCATAAGGTAAGAAAAAAATATGCTATGTTTATTGTTAAGAAAAATTCCAAACATTTGTGGTAACTATATTTCTTGTTTAATGCAAAATTGAGAAGAAATTATAAAATTGAAAGCAGTGAGCATGTTACTTACATTCTGCTGTCACATACATGTTTCTGTTTCTTTAAGCTTGAAGAGGTGCATTTTCAGATTTGTGAAACCAATGACTCGCATTAACCTCACAGAACTATAATTTATAGACTGGCACTAAATCTCGCAAAGCGACCACATGTGGTATTGGATTCCCCTCTTTTCTTCCTTTCTGTTTAGGAGCTGCTACCCTAGAGTATGTTGCTTAGCCTGTTGTGTCAATTAGGCCCTGAGATACATGATACTAATGAATTATCTATTGATCACAGAAGCATCATTGGAGGAGGCTGCTGTGTGAACAGCCTGGTGGTTGGCTGGGGGAAGAAGTAGAAACACACATCATTATAACTTGGTCCTTGTTTGTAATGTCTGGGGAAATAGAAAGGACCTTTCTCATTGCAATGTGAAATTGAAAAAAAAAAGTAAAGTTGTTACAAGAAGATTTTGGAGAACCAGGAGGCAGAGATCACAGTATTTCTGTGCTATAAATATGTCATGAGTTCTTCTAGACCTTATGCAAAAGAGAGCATTAAGTAGCAGATTGAAGAGAAGTTAAGGTTTTAAATATTTTCATGGAGTTCTTCCTATTTTTAATGCCTCTGTGGGCATATTCTTTTAACAAGTGCACAAAAAACCTTTAAAAGTTTGTCAGCAGTATGAAATGTCTGTTGCTTCTGTTTTGTGAAGTGTGAGTGATTTTGCAAGTATCCATTAAAAAAAAGAAAGATTTGAAACATTTCTGTTGTTCTTCTAGTTGTTTAGACTTTTCAAAGGAAAGTTCTGAACTCTCTTCTTTTCCTGGCTGTGTACCAAATACATTGGAAAAAACAGCTAGGTTTTATTTTTGGGAGAAGAAGGTGGCAGAAATCTGTATGTGCATCTATCACTTTGTATGAACACATGCACATATATGAAATATATGTGTAACTACACATAACTCAATGAGAAATACAGTGTATAAATTAATGGATTAAATTTATCAGGCAGTTTGTTGCTGTGAGAGTTCTGTAGTTATCAGCCACTTGAAAATTTAGCTTAAAAAAACATTGTAAAACAGCAGTTATAGAATATAACTTCAATAATTAAACTTAACTTTAAGTTAAATTAATCTCTGCTTAGTACTTTTTTTATGAATAGCCTCACATTTTTTACAAAGATTGGTAAAGCTGGTATTAATGGCCTGTGAAAATGGCCTTAATGGAGAAACATGAAGAATTAAGAAAACTAGTGTGATAAGATTTTGAATGGGATTGTTGCTTTTTTGAATTTGAAGCATTTTAAGGTAAATGTAATAGCAAGTCAGTTAAGATCTAATAAAGAGATGCAACTGATGAACGAGAAATTTTGATGTTCCACTTCATGTCTTAATTCTCCTGTACAAAACACTTTTATTCATAGTACAAGGAAATTTTATTATTCTTTTATTGTCACTTTTAATGGAACTTGGCCATTTATAACTCCTGCTGTCTTCCTGCTCATATCCTTTGTGGCATTATATCAAAGTATTCTCAAATTATTTTGGCTGCAGTTGTGAGGAGTTCTGCACTCTTTGCAAATTAGTCATCAGGCAATGTGAAATTGAATATAAATGCTTAAATATATTTGCTTTTGATCCTTGTTTTAGGACCTTTAATATATTATTAAAAGTAGCACAATTGTTTGAAGGGTGATATTTGTACCTCTACTCCTTTGTTGTTTCCAAGCACATTCTGTGTGTTTATCTGAGAGTACAAGTGCAGGGGAAAGAACAAGTAAAAGTTTTTGTTAAAGTTATGGCCTTTCCTTATTTTCCATTTGACAGTGAAGGTTTCTTTCCTAACTACTTCCTATTTGTAGGCTGCAACAACAAGCTCTCTGCAGATTTCTTGCTCTGTGCTTTTATTTTCCATCTCAGCTTCCAATTTCACAAGTGTTGCAGTCTAGGGGAGGGCTTTTAATTTTTGTATTAAATCTAACATTAGTTGGGAATGCAGTTATTTCTAGTGGAGATGTGTATTAGCTTTGCTCTAGTTCTGTTTTTGGTTTTTTGTTATTTACATCGCCAAAGAATTTGAGGGCAGGGCAGGTGCACATTGTTTGCTATTTTGTAGATAATTTTAAGGAAGTGTAAAAAGGAGATTTCATGATGGGTTTGTGAAAGCATTGGTGATACAGGTTCATGGCATGAGTGATTTGAATTAGTGGATTCCAGGATTATTACTTTGCTGATTAAAACATTTTTCTCTGAGAATCTTTTTAAAATAGATAGAAGAAAAACTTAAGGGTAAGTTGGTGCTTAGTAGTAGTAGTAGTTAAAACAGATCTGAAAATCTCATGAACTACAGTGGTTGAAACAGGAATTACTACAAAGATCTGATAGTACTTCATCTTTTTATGGTGGGATATCTCATAGATGGAGAAAAATCAATCAGAAAATCAAAAAGCATTCATTCTTCCATGCTTGTGTTTCAGTCACTAAAGCAGAAAGTGATGTTTTGATGAAGCAGCTGTACTAACCTCACTAACCTTGTTACTATTTATGCACGGTCAGGAAAGGGATAGCTCTTAGAAACAGTAACTCTTCCCCTGAAAATGTTACCTCAATATGTATTTGCCCACGTAGTGTAACTTAGAGCATCCTGAAAGACATATAAATGTTTGTGGTTCTTCATTCCTAGATGAAAACCCGGTGCTTTTATAAAGATGGCAGCAAGGATTTACTTTTCCTTCCACTTCCAGGTGTTGAGTCTTATCTTTTATCTAATGAGGCCTTAATTCAGCTGCAGAAGAGGCAGGGCTTTCAAATTCCTCCTGCAGAAGGGATGGGAAAGTAGGAGATACTCTGCTGATATCAGGGGAGAATTAGCTGAGCTCCTGTATTCTTTAATGCCTAAACAAGTTTAAATTACCATCTAATTGCCCTTCTCATTGTTCAGATTAAACCATTCAACAACAAATCTCAAAAATTGCCCATTGGTTATATACTTGTCCTATCCAGGCAGATTTGATCCTGCTCTCTTTAACCTAGTGTTACTATAGTGCTTTACATAGCCTCTGACTACAGAACCTGCAGGTCTTTCACATACTGTGCCACAGACAAAGCTCATTTTAGCTCCAGTCTTGAATGCCTAGCAAATATACTGAATTCTTGGTGTCAGACACATACAAAGAGCTCCATTTTCTCAATTTTCTCTTTTGTTGTTAAACTAAGTATCTTCTAAAATTCATTATTTTCAAAACTACATAATTGCTTAGGAAATGCTGAGCAGTATCTCGTTCCAGGTGTGTGGTTACCATTTGTTCAAACTTATTTCAGTCAGCATGTGTAAAAATACATAGCACTTTGTAAATGAAGCCATTCCTCATACTGAAATACTTGATTTTTTGTGTTTATGTAGAGGAGAAATGTGTTTTGTCTGGCTTTCTTGAGAGTCAAGTGGTAATTGCTGTGTAACTTTTCTCTAGATAGCAATTGAACAACACCTCCAGTTTTATGTACAGTTAGTAATTTTCTAGGACCATCAGAAAAAGATGATAAAATTGTCATCCTCATAAAGCTGTACCAGCAACAGCTTTAGTGTTTTAAAATGTAAAAGAAGATAATTGAGGAGCTGTATTCTGGCCAGTTTCTATGAGCTCATTTAATGAAAGATTGTTTGCACACAAGTAATTTCTGCTGAATGTTTTTTGTGTGTACGCTGTGAGGTTTCACTTTTCACACAAAAAGAATTTTATTCTGTCTGCAGTAGATGTTTAGCTCACAAATAATGGAATTGGAGCTCTCTCCTAAATGACCCTTGCTCTTCAAAATTTGTGACCCATTTTTTTTAAAACTGTTAAAGTAGTTGTTATAATAGTTTACCTAGTTATAAAGCAACAGGTTTTGTAACTTAATAGGAGTTTCAGGGTTCAGTTTGCACTTAATGGCCAAATTCAGAAGGGCAGAGCCCTAGTTCCATTTTTGTCAGATGAGTTCAAATATTCAGTCTAGCCCTGGAATAGTTGTTTAAAACTATAATCCTCAATTTTTGCTCTTCAAAATAACGTTTTTACATATTGTAAGCACAGTGTATCAGAACTACTACACATTTTGCTGCTTTGCCTTCTTGGGAGGATACCCAGGGTTACCTTAGGGCATGTCCATACATGTCTCTGGCAGCATGGGGCTGTTACAGTGAGAAATCCCATGAGACTCGTGCTTAGAACTCAGCTCCTTATTTGTTTCTGCCTTTTGCAACCTGAATCTCTTGCTGTACAATAAGGCATGATCTATGAAAAAATAAGATCATGTCTTATAGCTTTAGAGATTTATTTAAGCATGTACTGTGTCCAGCCCAGTAAGAAATAAAGTCAACGTTCATGTGATTTGAAAAGAGTTTATTGGGAGATTTTTCTCCCAAACTGAAGGTGTGCTCAGGATCAAAAAAAATAGTTGCTATTTCAAAATATGCTGTAATTGATGCAATTCTGCTAAAATAATTGTAAAATCTTTAAGCCTCATGCTTCTAATATTCTTTGTTAACATGTTCTGGCAATGTTAAAACACTCAAAAGAGCAAAATCCCCTAGACAATGCCTGTGTGTTTGGCAAGTTCTATGGACCATTGTATTGCGATACACAATTAAGTGACAAAAAATATTTTTGGGGTTTTTTTTTTTTGTTTGCTTGTTTGGTTGTTTTTTTTGTCAGCTCTTAGCCTCACAAGCAGTTTTGGTAAGCAAGGAGTTATGTCCTGTTGTCTTTGATAAGGGTAGGTACATGCATAACTCACTCAAGGAACATTAATAACAAGATTATGTACAAGGTACTAATGGCTGCTGCCACTTAGAGACCTATGATGTTTTGAAACAATTATTTCAATAGTACACAGACCCTATTTTTAATGGAAAATGAATAAT